ACCATCTATGCACAGGGACTGTGCTGGGCCTCCCAGGCTGAGGCCTAGCGCTTCCGGGGGCCTCGCGCCCACCAGACCTGCCACCGCAATGATCTGCATGCCCTGTATGTTCTGCCAGCTCACAGCGCAGCGTCAAGAAACAGTCGCCGGCTCAGAAGTGAGGGAAGCGGGGACATAGGATATCTCTGCCCCCTCACCATTCTACAGGTCTGCTGCGCCAGGATCGGAGGTAAGAGATGCGATGTAGAGGAGGGCCTAGAGAGATGTGACTGGAGAAGGGGGGGGGGTGATAAGGGACAGGGGGACGATGTGATCGAAAGGGGGGGCTGAGGAGATGTGATAAGGGACAGGGGGATGATGTGATCGAAAAGGGGGGCCGAGGAGATGTGATAGGGGGGCATGTCCCTACTTAACATAACAAAGCAGGGAAAACTAGTTTTGGAGAAGAGCAAATAAAAATTTAAGCTGCAATTTGTACAATGTTTTAAGTTATGCTGTGTGAATTGGAACATAAATATAAAGTAGGTGTTATCCCAATTTGGCTGCAAAAGTGGAAATATACTTTAAGGCTGATATAGGCAGTTGAGAATCTGCACTGAAAAAATTGTGTGAATATTCACTTAATTTATCCAACCATGTAAAAAGCTAATTCCTGTACACCTTGAATACCCAATTGCGTGCATATGATTGTCACATGATTGGATGATTGAAGTGAATATTCACAATTTTTTCAGTGAATATTTTTTAGCAAATTAGCCTTGTTTCATCAGTTTAATGACATCATTGAAATGATCTATAGCAGCCTTTTTCAATCAGGGTGCCATGCACCCTGGGGTGCTTTGTGGGTTCATTAGGGGTGCCTCAAAATTTTCACAGAGCCATGCTTCTGATGTGAAGAGGGCTCCTAGTGTGAGAGGGGGTGACTCTGTTCTGAAATAAGGGCGCTCCTGTGAAGAGGGACTCTTATGTGAAGGGGTTTCCTAATTTGAAGGGGCAGGGCTCTGATGTAAAGGGTGGAGCCCTACTTTTTTGGGGGCCCCCTATAAAATCCATACCACGCCCCTATCTTGCATAGGGGTGTGGGGTGTGGTATGGATTTTGGAGGGAACATACGTTGTCTTTTACATTTACAGTTTTTACATTTTAGACTCTAGTGCCTTGAGATTTTACAAACTTTTAAAGGGACAAAAAAAAAGATTGATAAATGTTGTTCTAAAGTATGTTACTAGTGGGAGCTCCACCATGTGAAAATGCTACTTTCTGTGTGACAGGACCATGGAGTACAGATCTGACGTTCTCAGTACCCTGAGCAGGGCCTCTCCACACCTCTGGACTGGTCCACACCTCTGGTGTTGTAGACTGCTTTAACTTCTACTTGGCTTCACTTCCACATGACCACTTTCCACTACCATTCCTGGAGAAAAAAAACATACTATTTACTATTTACTATTTTTCGTGAGTCCATCTCTTACGCCACATATTATTTTGCTTGTGTCTGTAGTACTGCACTAGGTCAGTGCACGTAATGTTTTTTTGGTACCTTGAGCAGCACAGTCATTTGCCAATATACTAATCTGACAGTGCAAAGGCAGCCATGAGTCTTACTGAACATTGCCAAAATCAGAACCAGAAATCAACCCTATTATGGCTGTCCATACTGGGCGGTAACAGGAGAATGTAGACGTTGTCTGTTCTTTAGGGATGGGGCCTGAATATTGCACTGTGACATTCCAGTCAGCTGTTGCTATTACCAATTATTTCCCATAAGAACACAGTCTGAACCAGATAATGAAGAAATGCCTTTGGGCAAAGTCATATAGGTGCCTTTAATGCTGCAACATTTTACTAAAAGCACAGAGGTGGGAATTTACTAAACTGGAGCAGACAAAATCTGGAGCAGTTGCCTATAGCAACCAATCAGCTTGTTTATTCAGCTTGTTCAGTTAAGCTTTGAAAATGAAAGCTAGAAGTTCATTGGTTGCCATCAGAATCTCCAAATTGTGTGTAGAGTAAATTCCCCTCAGTATATTTTTAACATCATCAGCCTCTGTAAAATACAGCAAATCAAGGGTCAAAGTTAGTATCTTTAGGGTGTTTTAGGATGTTCTTTGCCAAATTGTTTTCATGATGGCCAACAATGCTCTATATGCCATTAGAAGTAATGTGAGGGGCTGTGAAGCTGTCACTTGTATAACTGTGTGAGAGAATCACAGAGGAATGCAAGAAAAATGCTACTGTAATTCTTTAAACTTCTTTATGGCTCAGTTGACACCGGCATTAATAGCAGTCTTTTGGGATCAATTAAAGCTATACCCAAATGCTCTGTGTAATCTCACAAATCTAAGAAAACATGGAAATAAACATGATAGTGCATATTCACGCTGGAGACAAGCACTTGCATTATTGCTTGATGTTGTGCTTTCCTTTGGATACAGCAAGCAACATCAGAAGGTGTTGAAACCCAAAGACTCTACCCGATGTCTGTGATATAAGCCAAAGAGAACACATCTAAAAACACTGCCCCGAACACTTCAGCATTGGGAAGCATGTCCAAATCTTCTCATTTTGAATTTTGAATTTATATGAGTCAGGATGCAATATTAAAAATAGCTCAATGCTGACAGGGGTCAGAAAAAAAGTGCTGAGATCACAAATGAATGCCAATGCGCAATAAACACGGGGGGTGATTGTTGTTAAACAGCTCTGATATAAAACAATCATTTGAACGAGCAAATGATGACTAGCTGCTTTGAAGGCTGAACAAGACCTGCATTTTTTGTGGAATAGCACAGCACGTCTCCCCCCTGGCTGAGCTGCATCAGTGTCTATTACAGTATGGGTGAGAAGGATCAGCTTCAAGTAGGATTTTTGGAAATTGGTTGCCTCTCCTACAAACACACACACACTCACATGACAGGGAGAACATTCCTTATTAACATCTTTGATGAGCTGATGCAGTTTAGTAGGAAACAGACACAAACCACATCCTACTTTATAGTAAAATTTGCTCAAAGCAGAACTCCGGGCAAAAATGTTCTTAACTCTTACAGTGGGGCTACCCCTGCACTGCAATGGTTAATTACTCATTTTTGTCTAGGTGCTAAGAAAAGTTATACTCACCCGATCTTCTGATCTAACTTGTTCTTAGACTGGTCCCTGGAGCCTCACTGCCCATCTGCAGCCACATACTAAGGATCACGTTCTAGTCATCACATCCTATGCACTATGTATAGGATGTGATGCCCCCAAGGGACATCCATCTCTGAAGCAGAGTGGGAGGCAGGCTTCAGGGACCAGAGCAGCAGCCAGCCGGTATAACTTTTTTTTTAGCACCTAGACAAAAACAAGCACTTAACCTTTGCAGTGCCGGTATAGCTCCACTGCAGGGTTAAGAACACTTCTGCTTAAGAAGACTTCTGCTTAAAAGACTCCATTGTACAATTTTTTACACCTAAAGCTGACCATCTTCACCTTGGGTCGATTTCTGTTGCATCCGATTTCTGTCGGCACCACCCAGCTCAACAAATTTTGATTAAAAAAATCGACTGAAAATTGTCAAACAACCACTGCATCCAATCAAATGCAGCCACCGTTTGGGAAATCTGTTTATTTCCCCATCCACACTAAACAGCATGAATTTCAGCTGTTGGCTCTTGTATTCAGACAACTGTAACACCTGCGGCTGTCTAAAACTCGCTATACAGGGAACAAATTTTGTCTGGTTCCTGGTGAACCGGCTGAAATTCGCACAGTGGGTGTCGCTGTCGGCAATCTTCCACCTGTCATTTTTCGATCAGCTGAGGAGCCGGTTGGAAAATTGTCATCTTAAGGGCTGAATGGCTGCCAGCTCTGTTCGGGCATTCTGACAGTGGCTGGTGGCCGCTATCAGAATACAATGCAAACAGCAGGGATTCATCCATCAATGCTAGTAAGCATTGATGGAGGAATCTTTTGCATGTTCTTCATTCAGCCCACAGGTTATATATAAATATAAGCACCTGGATTAAGTACAATAGGCAGCAGCGCAGATTTCTCCATCCATGCTTATTAGCGTCAATGGTGGAATCCACTGATTTCTCTCGTTCAGTTCGCAGGGCTCAACAAGAGAAATCTGACTGTGTATGTCCATCCTTAATCTGTTTCCACACAACATTGTTATCTCCTAATAAGTGGTGCCCACTGTGGAACACTGGCCGATTCATCACTTTTTGATTCCTCTGAATCTTTCTATTGAGATTTACCTGATCTGCAGATGATCTTGCAATTTCACAATCAGGCAATCATCATTTAAAAACTGTATTATCCTATGCAGAGCGAGCAAACCTCTGTGCATATATTCCAGAGAGGAAAGAAATTCCCAATTTGCAGATTTGCTTGGCTTTCTAATCATTTCACTCATTGCTACTTATCTACACACATTTTCCAGCTTTCCATGCCACTCAAGAAGATTAATTAGCAAATTAAATATTTTGCTTTTGCACACCGTGTTTAATCCAGTGAGGAAAGACAGGCATGAAATGTAAAAGGGTTTAAGATACTCAGCAATGGAATGGTGCATTCGGTTCAGAGGGTAGAGTTGAAGCGTGGTTTGTGGAATTGATGTATTCCGAGCACTATTAGTGTATCGGAAAGGCACTGCGAGCTGACAGGCATCCTGCAGCAAGACAGCCACCAGTGCTCTCAGCAAAGAGAGGATTGTCTTATTAGAGCTGCTATTATTTTGCAGCGTCCGATGTTTGTATTGTCAGTTTTTGCAGTTTATAGCCTTGGCGTTCTTCCTCAGGATCGTACGTGCGTGTGAGTGTGTGTGTTTTATCAGAGATCTGTACCTGTGTCACCAGCCTTTCATAATGACAGGAACTTGCTGCCTTTCTCACCACAGTTCCACTAACACTCCTCTAATCTGCATGCATCTGATCAAAAACCAAATACAACCGATGCTTCATTCCCTGCTGGCAAGAAAACCTTCTTTCCTTCACTACGGTTGTCAAAAAGGATCATAGAGAGAGGCAAACTGAGAATAATGCAAGCCTGTGGGAAATCTCCTTATCAGAATGTATGTTGTTTTAGAGGGATGAGCTGAAAGTCCACGCCTGCTGCCTGTGACAAGTTAGCAAAGAGGCTGAACCATGCTTCCACCCACCATCGCTCTCTGCCTCCCTCCCTTTTCTCACTGTCTCTCTCTCATTCTCTGGAGAAGTACTGCTGTAGATTTTCTCTGTGTGAAGGAATCAATGTGGGGAAGCAAAATCCTGCAACGTGCAGCAACAGCGACACAGGCAATGCAACTTTTTGCGCACACTGCCCCGTGGTTTACTGGCTCCTGAGATGACGGCCGGGGTTCTTTTTGATTGCAAAGATCAGAGGGACAACGCTGTGAGGTAGGCATGGCTTGTAAAAGAAAACCAGTTGTACACACCCGTGCAAGGCAAGTGGGTGGAAGTTTTCTATGACTTGCCCTTTACACTTTCTTCCTTATAAATAAGATGAACTCACATCACTTTTCCTAGTTTGTGCAAGGACAATCGGTGCATGGCTGAAGCTTGTGCTCGTACAAAGGGAAACTGTCATTGCTCTGCAAGTCTGATCCATGGTCACCATTGCAAATGTTCGGGTTTATTCACTACAGAGATGGGCAGAGTGGAGTAACCCTTAGCAACCCTTTGCATGTCACCATTCATCAGTTATAATCAAGATAGATGTTTGATCTTTGGTTGTTAAAGGCTCTTGTGTTTTGCACATTGCTCCTTGCCTTATGATTGTAATAGATGTTTTTTGATGATTGCAAAGCTCTACATTGTCAGGGAATGTATTAGACCAAGCACAGCTCACTATTAATCCCAGCATGCACTAACCTTGATCTGACTGCTAAAGTAATAACTGGTACCCCTTCCTTGCTGTTTTTTTTCTTTTTAGATGATTGCAGCCACCAACCTCGTTGTTTTCCACTCCCTGCCTGTTTTGACTTGAAAAGACCATGACAGAAGTCTTTCTATCAGCTCTTTTAAATGTTACTCAAAGCACTTTGCTGGCAAGTGGCTCATCTACTGGAAATGTCACAAAATGCACTCTGACAAAGACAGGCTTTCAATTCTATTACCTCCCCGCTGTGTATATAGTGGTTTGTATCACAGGATTTATCGGTAATAGTGTGGCCATATGGATGTTCATTTTTCACATGAAACCATGGAGCAGTATTTCCGTCTACATGTTCAATTTGGCACTGGCAGATTTTTTATACATCCTCTCCCTCCCAGCCCTGATCTTTTACTATTTCAATAAAACAGACTGGATATTCGGGGATGTCATGTGTAAACTGCAAAGGTTTATATTTCATGTGAACCTGTATGGAAGCATCCTATTTCTGACTTGTATTAGTGTCCACAGATACACAGGGGTAGTTCATCCACTTAAATCACTTGGAAGGCTCAAGAAGAAAAACTCCATCTACATCAGTGCTCTTGTCTGGTTCATTGTGATTGCTGGTATCTCTCCTATCCTATTTTTCTCTGGTACAGGAATCAGGAAAAATAAAACCATTACATGCTTTGACACATCATCGGATGACTACTTAAGAAGCTACTTCATCTACAGTATGTGTACCACTGTCTTTGGCTTCTGCATCCCTTTTTTACTGATTCTGGGATGTTATGGATTAATTGTTAAAGCTTTGATCTACAAAGATATGAACAATGCACCCCTGAGAAAAAAATCCATTTATCTGGTTATTATTGTCTTAACTGTCTTTGCAGTTTCATACCTTCCTTTCCACGTGATGAAGAATCTGAACTTAAGAGCCAGACTGGATTTCCAGTCCCCTGAAATGTGCTTCTTCAATGACAGAGTCTATGCCACCTACCAAGTGACTAGGGGGCTTGCAAGCCTCAATAGCTGCGTAGATCCCATACTCTATTTCTTGGCAGGAGATACCTTTCGGCGGAAGCTATCAAGGGCAACTAGGAAAGCATCTAGAAGAAGTGAAGCGAATGTGCAATCTAAGAGTGAAGAGATGACTCTCAACATCTTATCAGAGTACAAGCAAAATGGTGATACCAGCTTGTGAAGACAAAGAACTGGATTGCTCAAGACACCCAGCTGTTGGCACTAAGGGATGCATTATCTCAAGTTATGGCTGTGTAGAGATTTTTACGGGTTAAAGTGAGTTGACATCCTAAGGCAGGCTAGAACAATTTAATCAAGAGGAAGCAGAAAGTTCTAAGGTTTTGTGACAGACATTTGCATTCCCACCACCAAGAACAAAAAAAGGGTGTTCTTTTTCTTGTAGTATCTCCACAAGCTAAACTATTTCATTTTTTTTACAAGTTATTCCAGAATTTACTGTGAATACGTTTTGACTACTGCTCATATGGTGAAGGAATGTATCTCAATAAAAGTTATGTGCTGATATTTAAAAAAAAAAAAAAAAAGTATTACTAAATTAGCGGATCTTTTTGGGAACCTGCTTTTTTTTAGAGCAATGGACTTTTTTTTTTTTTTTTATTATTCTGGAGAGACTTTTTTATTTTAGAATATTCTTACATTACAGAATTGAACATGTGTGGAGGAAGCAGGAAATAGCTGCTCAATATTAATTGTCACTCTGTATTTAGGTGTGTCAATTAAAAAGAAACATAGACAACACACTCTGGCCAAAATTCAGAATGCTGAGTGACAAGAAAGTTGTTGAAACATGTTTTAACTGATAGTAGTCTGCTGTGATCAAAAGATTAATTGCATACCCATTTCAGTTAGACTTGTATATGCGGCACAACGTAAATTTGTATTATGGCTCTTTAGGAGAACATTGATAGTCCATGACAGTTTTATTGCACAAGAAAAAAAATGACTTTTTTTTTTTTTTTTAAAGCATTTCAAAATATTAACAATATAAGGAACAAGGCAAAAAAAAAAAAAAGTTAGTAATACGGATCCTTGCGTACTAGGGCTCTATATAATAAAGGTTAATACTACCTATCTAAGCACTATTTACTACAAAAATACCAGTGGATTGTTTGTGAAAGACTAATTGTGCTAGTTGAGAGTAGATGATTTCGATATATATAACTTGGTTACTATGGGAAGGATGTATGCTGACAGAATGGAAGATAACATGCCCTTTTCACCTCCAGAGCTTGCCCTGGTACCACTAACTACTGAGAAGCTCAATGTGTATGCTCATTTCTTAAAAATAAACTGGACACAGAGACTTTTTCATTTTATTTTTTAACCTGCTGCTCAGCAGCTAATATTACAATAATTTTCTTGACATGTGGCATGGTGTAGCTGTATATCATGTCCAAAACTGAATATATGAAGGGATAAATGTGATCTCTATGTTAAACGTACTGTGTATGTTTGGAGTATCGTATGTGTTTTAATGCTCATGTGAAAAATGTTTTATTTTTGTACCATTATCTGTAATTTAATATAGTTCAGTAAATCTGTTTATCTGTGATTAACAGTGCCATTGACTTGATTTGCCTATGGAGACAGTGTTACTTGACATTTGAAGCCTCTCTCAGGTTTTGTAGGCTGAATGAAACGTAATGTGTTTAACTTTCACAATAAAAAGGGTATTCGTTTCTCGGAGATGCTGTGATATTTGCATGAACACAATGAGTTGGAAGAGGGATGGGAAATGATAACAATGAAGCAGCAACCCCCCAAGTGTTTCTGGAATTTTACATTGCCATCCTAAACTTAGATGGTAATTAACTCATTAAGTAATTAGAAGAATTTTTTTTAAGTATCTTTTGCTAATTTTGCATTATGAAGATAATGCTAGGTTTATGTAGAGAAGTGTAAAAGCAATTACATTGTGCAAAATATAGTGACCCATACCAACCAAGAGAAAAATAACTCCCATCTTGTTGCTGTAGGATGCTGGACATATTAAATAGCATGCAAGTGTATACATCTAATAAAGAGATGGCATTAGAATTTATTGTCTAGGATCTAACCATGATACAACTCTTTGACTAGATTTTCAGGCGGTGGCATGGAGCTAGCATCCTGTTATCCATTTGATATGGCAACTGTCAAGCTAACTTAGCAGTATGATAGTTCTGGGATGCAGGGCACCAAGCCAGTGTAAATTTACACTTGTGTAAAGTAGATAACCGTGAACAGGAGCAAAGGTTCCTAAGTTTTCATCTTGTATGAAGAAAGGAAGCCCTTGTGTTGTTGCACCTTTTATCATTTTGCTGTTAATTTTTTCAGCATGCATTCTGTATATAAGAAAAGAAAGGTTCTGCTCATTACCATTGATTAGAGTGCATGCTTTTGATATAAGCCTTCAAGACAAGACACTATGCAAATTTTTCTCCATCAGCGCTGTTCTGTTAAAGCATGACATCTATCTAACCTACATTAATGTGTTTTCCAAACACAGCATAAACAAGTGTACACCTTTTTGATTGAATGCTAATCGGCATGACATAATAGAGGTGTAGCATTTAAATAGGAAACCTATATACAAATATTTGGATAAGCAGAAACATTATTAATGAAAACAGATGAATGTTTATAGACTAAGCACATTTATAGCTTGCTGTTCAAATGAAGAAAAGAAAAACATGATTTGATTGGCTTCATTATATTGTAAATTAGTTTTTTTTCCCCCTTCGCTTTCAAGTATGCACAGTCATGCAGTGTTGACTGACATGTTCATCCTCACTAGAAAACAGTTACCTATTGTAACATTAAATTTAGCCTTGCATGTCTATTTAATTATGAAATGCTTGTTAATTTATTTAGGGTTGGAAGGAAAAATTTATATGCTTTCCACATTTTTACATAGCTGAACATTTTGCTGTAAATAATTTATTTTCATTTTCTACCATTTTTTGCGAACCATTGCTAGATGTGTTGCAAAAAATGTAAAGCTGTGCATAAGCCAGCAGATGTGCTAATGAAAACGATGGCCAGTGATATATCTGCCATCCTTGAACAGATTCATGGGCAGCTAAGACTATCTTTTCTCCGACTTGGCCAACGTTAGCAGCATAAGATCAGTGAAATATGAATTCACTGCATAGAAAAAGCAACCACTCATGCCTGCGCATATAACAAGCAGCAACTATCTTTATCCAGTAAGGAGCTCTATTGATGGTTGGATGATTACCACTTTTTAGGGAAGTCCTGCTTGGCCCGATATACATCTGATGCTCAAACAAGATGCAAGGATCAACCCATGCATGGACATCTTTACATGTAGTATTGTACATCCAGCATGAATGTGGACACCCGCTGTCAACTGCTCTTTTGCAGCAGTTGGACAATGTAGATGGAAAGAAGTAAATGACCATGTGATCTCCTATAAACTGCCGCATAAAATAAACTATGTATGCTTTCATCATCTGCCACATAGGGTGGCCATACACAGCAAAAACTGTCATTAAGAATGACAAGAGCATGTCCAAACTGCAACCTCAGTCATATGAACCCATGAATACCTTTGGTTAACATTTGATGGCAGTGTACATTTTATGAATAGACGTTTACATTTTCTTGGGGAAAGTAGAAATTACTGCTAATTGTTTTAAGCAATTTTCTAACAGGATGGAAAATTTCAGTAAGCACTTGAGTGCTTCTGACTTGCTCAAATATTAACTGATATGCTGACCAATGATAACAAGAGAAGCTCAGCATATAGTCCTGATTCACAAGTCAGCAGTGAGATCATTTTAGTAGAGGTCAAGAATATGTGTGTTAAGATGTAAAAAAAAATACGTTAAAGTTTTTGACCAGGGCTAAAATATAAGTAAAATGCAATTAATTACACTGTAAACGTAAGGCTAGTTAGTAATAGTAACACTCCTATAGCAGCTGCTAAGCATTGTGTGAGAAGTAGTCCAGCAGGAGCACAGATATTGAACTTTTAAGATCTAATTCTTCAATTTGTTGTTTGTGGTTTCATCCACTTTATAAGTCAAGTGGTTCAAAATCTCTGTTTTTAATATACACAAATTAGATCTTTTCATTTGAGCATATGGCAGCATGACTATGTCTGTATAACTGTTCTGCTCCAGGTGGTGACTATTTTTACCATGCTAGAATTAGTTTGTATACTTCTCTGAAGACCCCACGCATTTTTAAAGAAAACACTTTAGTTGTCCCAAATAATCTCACACAAACAAGTTTAACTTGAAATGCTTCTTGGCTTTATTGGAATACAAGTCATGATTACAGTCTAGATCACTGTATTTATAATATTAAGCAGGGCTTGTTTAATAGCATATGGCCTGATGCATTCATGTGTCTGTAATAAAGAACTGTCCTTACAGCCACCAATCAGATTCAGACTTTCAGATCCAAGTTGTCATTTCCAAGAGAAGATAAATCTGTGAGATGGAATTGAGTAAATAATAGTTCTTCTTAAGGACACTTTGATACATGTATGAGTAGTGCGCTGTAATCCATGACAGCCAATCAAGAATTCGCTTTTAGTAGCTTGTCAAATGAAAATTAATTCTGATTGGTTGAAATATGGAATGAAACTGCCATTTTTTGCCTCTATGCAAATGTCATTCTTTTTCATGTGAATAAATATATTTTTGGGATTATATTCTGCATCCAGAATGAAAGTATTCATAAGTCTTGTTAAGTAGGCCCTCTCCAACTCTATTTTAATAGTAGCATTTTATGTACGTACTCAACTCTTTGCTTTTGTAATCCTCTTACTAATGTACATGATTTTAGAATCGGAATTATTTTAGAGAATTATTGCACGCCATTATTGTTGTGTCTTTTTTTTTTCGGCTAAGTCCCTGTTCCACTCGCTTTTGTTCTTTGTATGGCACTTTAAATGCCATTTTAATTTGAGGATTTTTTTCATATTTTAGGTTGGGACACTTGCCAGGCTAGTAATGGGTTGCTCGCTGGTCGATCTTCTGAACTCCTCACTGCTTTATTCATTTGGGAATATATTTAGATTTTTAATTAAATGTTGGGATTACGTTTTTTTTCCCTTTTTTTTTCATTTTTCTTGCGGTTTTATTTTCCACACCATTGCCTTTTTTTTCCTGAAGATTTTGAGGTCATCCTTCTAAAATTGCAGCTACCATCCTATTTAAGGGTTGGGAAATTATTAAAGCAGTGGCCCATGATAGACTTGCTTATAATTGAGCCTGCAGCTTAGCAGAGTGTTATATTAAAATCCTGTCTGTGTTTCTTTTATCTTGCAGAAGTTATGATAGCGAGAAATAAAGCTTGTAACATAATAAGAGAAGCCTGTTGTGAAATTGCAGAGTTAAGTCTCTGCACAGCAGGGGAATTATAGTGCGTTGGCCCCCATTTCTCTCCTGCTGAAAGAAAAATAAGTAAATGTTCAAAGTTCATGTCGTTTGTTAGATTCCACCATTTTCTTCTCTTAGAACAATTATTTAAGCTTCTGCCACTGACAGTCCATGTAGCTGAATCCTCCCTTAACCATATAGATATGCATCCCACATCAGCCCAACCAACCATGTGTAGTTTCTCTTTTCTTAACAGTGTTTGAACAAACATGCTTCTGCTTTCTTCAGCAAACTCTGCTTACCCCTACAATCTTTTCAACAGTGTTAAGACGTCCTCATTTTTCCTGCAAAATCATCACTTAATAGCTTTCAGATGTTGAAATGTGAATTCATCCTCCACATTGTGATGTAAGGTGTCACAATAACAGAGGCATTTATACGGCTCCATGAGTTTGCACATATTAAGTGGGTCTTCTAAATCAAGGTCACCCATTTCGAAGGGTCTGTGCTTGTTACACAGGAAAAAATGTTTAAACTTGGGGAATAATTTCCAGTCTTTGATGAATTTAGAAATGGTGCTAATAAAATAATAAGAATGCATAGTGCTAGGCTAGTACCAATAATGTAAGTGATCTAGAAGTGATTTCAAGCCCATCACTTACCAGTTCTGACATTTCTTTTTGCCTTATGCACCAGAGATATAATCACCTGCATCCATCTTCCAGGTCTCTTGCTAGAGCTGTTTCTGAGTGCAGGGGACTGGAAATGCAGCGATGCAGATGTGCCTGTGCCAGCCAGTCCTCTCTGTTCACCTTTGGCTGATGACATCCTCTTCTGGATACTAAGAGGACTCTGCTGCTGGATGACCAATAAGAAATGTCCACATCACCCAGGTATTGACGCGGACACCTGAAGAAGGGCCCTGCCCACAGAAGTAGATGAAAGACTTGTGACTGGAACTGAACATGGCTAAACATGGGTTTAGGTGAGTAAGATTGAATTTTTTTTAATTTTGTATGAAACAG